TGTTTTTTTTTCGATCAATAACGCATTTGTACACCAAATACGTAAAAACTGCACGCCTTTCATTAATAAAAACTTCCATTTTGCACTATTCAACTTGTCGCACTGACTGATTTTCTTTAAAAACGAATGACACTGTATTAGATATATATTTTTATTACTTTTGCGGCGCCGCAACAAAACCGCAAAAATACCAGCAAGTGTGCAGCAAACTTTGCGGTGCCGCTGCGGCAAACTGTCGCATGTGTGCACCGGCGCTAATACGAATACTTAGTGCCAGTGCACACTTGCGACGGATGCCGTCGCGGGTCCACAGCGGCACCGCAAAGTTTGCTGCACACTTGCTGGTATTTTTGCGGTTTTGTTGCGGCGCCGCAAAAGTAATAAAAATATATATTTAATACAGTGTCATTCGTTTTTAAAGAAAATCAGTCCGTGCGACAAGTTGAATAGTGCAAAATGGAGGTTTTTATTAATAAAAGACGTGCAGTTTTTACGTACTTGGTGTACAAATGCGTTATTGATAGAAAAAAAAACATGAGACGATTTTGGGTACACCCATATACCGATTTACGGCTTACGAGGGGCACATTTGTAACGTCTTTTTCGGATTCAAGGGAGAATCCTGACAAATTTTTCAACTACTTTCGGATGAGTGTTGCTTCATTTGATGAATTAACAGCAAAAGTTTCTCACAGGATAAAATCACAAGATACCAGATTAAGAGTCTCCATAACCCCACTAGAAATGTTAGCGATCACAATTAGGTAAATACATAGAACATTTTCTGCGAATTTTCAGACAGTATCTACCAATATGTAAAATTGCTGAAGTATTTTACTTATTTTTTTTTGAAAGCAATTAGGTGTAAAAATGAAGAGAAAACAATTTATTATAAAACTATATTTGAATATGTAAATATAAACGTATAAATAATACAACTAAAAATCAATTTATATAAATGTCGTAGTCTTCGTCAGGCTCAATTTGAGACTCCGAAGTGGAAGAAAGTGCTGGGGAAGATTGAGTTGGAGGTAATGGTGGCCGAGCTTGCAAAAGTCGGCTGATGGTGATACATAGGTGTTTGGGGTAAAAACGTCGGTGGAGGATGGTGCTGCTGATATTGCTGATAAGCAGGTGGCGTTGGTACAGCACCCAATCTAATTCTTTTAATGGTGCTCAACACCTCGCAACGAAATTCCAACTTCTGGTCTTCGGTGAAAAGTGAAACAGAAGGCAATAGACTTTCAAAAAATGCCCGATCGGGATTGATATCCACCTGTTGTGGTTGGGGAATTTGCGGAGGAGTGTTGATGAAATTTATTAACGCTTCTTCAAGAGTCCGTTTGCCAGTTTTTCTTCGTTTTGGACACTGCTTTTCATCGAATTGACGATGGCTCGAATTTGGATCATCAGATATTTCTTCTGATGGCCTTTCTTCAGGCTCCATTTCATTCTCAGTTGGAAGGCTGCATTGGGTTTCTGCGGAGCCTATATTTTTCTGGAGGAAGGATAATTGACGTGCATATATATATGTTCGTCCTGAATCAGCCGCCTGTCCAGATTTTGTCTTCTTTTTTACATTTTTAGCATACCTATCTTTAATGTTTTTCCATTTTTTAACGAATTTGTTACCTACAATTGAAAACAAATCGATACTGTTCTACTATTGCAGGTATTTGGGTAGTATTTGCGATCAACTTCATCTACCCTTAATATACAGTTCCGCTATGTGGGATGCCCTGTACGAAACTTCGTTTCCCCAATTAACTGAAGAGCTATGGAAAAACATTTCTGAAGGGTTTGAGAAACATAGTCAATTTCCGAATTGTTTAGGTGCTATCGATGGCAAACACGTGAGAATCAGAAAACCAAAAATGAGTGGCTCATTGTTTTACAACTATAAAAATTACTTTTCAGTAGTTCTATTGGCCATTGCCAATGCGAATTATGAATTTATTTACATTGATGTTGGAGCTTATGGCAAAGATTCAGATAGTACTATATTTGATAAATCAGAGTTTTACAAAAAACTCCAAAACGGCGAATTAAATATCCCAAAAAGTAGATCCTTGCCAGGCACCGTAATGCCAAAAATTCCATTTATGTTTATTGGCGATGAAGCCTTTTCACTCTCCAAAAATGTAATGAGGCCCTTTAGCGGGAAAGTGCTTTCAGAAAAAAAAAGGATATTTAATTACAGATTGTCCCGCGCTCGTCGAAATGTAGAAAGTACATTCGGGATTCTTTCAAACAAATGGAGAATTTTTCACAAAGCACTAAATGTCAATTTGGACTTTGCTATTCTTTT